AACCATGACTCTCAATTATTTCTCTAGATTGTAAAATAAGCAGAAACCTTAAACTTTCAGTATCTGTATTCCATTGACAAACATGCTAGGCTAACAAAATATTGTGCAACTGTGACTTCAAGGTGCAACATCACATCAAGGGCTAACGACTTAATACACATTACAATATAATTAGATGGTCTGTATATAACAGGGATTCATTAATAAAGCTATATTTATCTTCTACTTGCACATAATCACTATTTACAACAACTTTCACTATTACCTAGCATGTTTTTGTAGTTAAATTATGTCTGAAATTACTAACGTCATCTTATTTTCTAGACAGATCAGTTAGACTGAAAAATTTTTCGAGAACTTAAAAAATTCCCTTCTTGTTCAGAGTTCTGAACAATTTATAAAAGTCAGCCTCAGAACGTATAAAAAACAAGTCTTGAAATGACACACTTTCTGTATTTGCTTTTCAAGTGTAGTGTTAATGCTATAGTTAATGCAGAGTGGACAAGGTTTTGTTAACTCCATAGCCTCCACAAGACTTCTAAGGGTGACATAATTATCCCACTTTTCATATACTATAAGTTGTCTGCCTATCCTAATAAAAAGCATTTAGAGACTTGTAGCAATATCAAAGTCTAACTTAGAAACTTCTACGTCTGGTAGCTACACAGATATCAGCTGAAAGATGTATAAAATGCCCATAATTATATGCCCTCCCATTAGAAGCCAGTCTTCCTCAGTAGTACAGGAAATGAGGACACAAGCTGGGCTCAGCTTAATGTGATCAGTATGGCTTCTGGCTCAAACACAAGGCTGGAAGAGCTGAAATTAACTCCCACTTATCAGATTGGAAATCCTAACACTTACACATACTCAATATTAATATTGGTTTGGGAAAATAAAAGACAAATTTGAAACAATGGCTGGCCACACTGAGCAGTCAGCTACTATGTTGAAATCTTGTGCACCTGTGCAAATATGTGGGTCCTAAGCACAGTATCCTGCCTCCAGCAGAAAAAAGAGTATTAATTAATTTGCAACATGAATAAATCCTTACAATGGGCTAAACTCAAATTTTTATCCCCATTTCAAACAAATATTAACTGGAACCAGTAGTCAAGAATGGAAAATATCCATTCTGAGGCTCTGTATTTTTCCACAAAGTTCTGTAGAGACACCAAGAAGATCAATCTTTGATGTTTGCTATCTCCTATATTAAGGTGACATTTTCCATTATTTGATTCTACTAAATATGACACTACTTAGAACATAAACAAACAATGGCACTTTTCTCCCTAGGGATGGTCCTAGATCATTAGATAAAACAGACATCCTTCATTATAAGCCTGAGCTTCTACAGCCAAGCCTCAGCCTGAATACAAAGACTCTGAGACAACATAGCTTTCAGATCAGTGCTGGTTACTCTTCACTGATTTCAAGTAAGTTTACTCCTACTCTTGAAAATAACTATACCTGTGCAATATCTTACAAGAATTAGCTATCATTTAACATCCCGGCTACTACATCACACATGCTTTTAACAACAGCACCAAATGGGAACTGGATCCTGTCAAAATTCAAATTCTGTAGTGCACTGCATCTGCATTCTTTCTGTAACCTAGATTGCCTCAGACAACTACCAACCATTCTTAAAAGAATGTAAATATGGAATAGTTTCAGCCATTTCCATAATCTCCACAATGAAAACTTAGCAATAACCAAGCTTTTTGCTTTATTTCATGACTCTGCACTCCCTGCACCAAGGGGAGCAGTAGGGGTGTAATCCAAAGCAGAGAAAGCCTTTCAAAGTAAAGGCAAATGCTGAAGAAACAGAAGGGAATATTAGTGAGAAGAACCATCGGAGTTGCTAAGATATCCTGTTGGGGAGTTTGTTGTTGGCTTTTCTTTTTCATTTGTTTGTTTATTTGCCTGCACATCTCCTTGCAGCATAATATTCAGTGGGACAAGAAATTATGGTCTACCTGTGTAGCTCCCCCTAATAATGTGATTTAGCATTTCCCTATTGTAAAATCATAGAATCACAGAATCACCGGGTTGGAAAGGAGCTCTGAGATCATCAAGTCCAGTCCTTGATCCATTACCACCATGGTTACCAAACCATGGCACTGAGTGTCACAGTCAGTCTCACCTTAAAAACCTGCAGGGAGGGAGAATCCACCACTTCCCTGGGTAGCCCATTCCAATGCTTGATTACCCTCTCTGTAAAGAATTTCTTCCTAATATAAAGGACTCAGGTTGCACATATTGGGATTTCAGTAAATATTTATGACAATTTACTATTTTAAAGTGCTCCCAGGTCAGTTGTCAGTTTTTCTTGATCACCTTTGCAGATGTTAGTCACTGCTGTGCTCTACCTGTACTAGCAGCGTTATGATGGTGGGTTTTGTATCAAAATACTGTCCCTCCAGCAAGAGGATTAAAAACATCCTATTCATCTTAATTAGGATCCTACATATTAGATTACAATACTGTACACACACAGGGAAGGGTCTGAATCAGCAGTTCAGGACTCCAGCAGCTTCCTCCCTTCCTGAGTCCAAAACACTACTGTCCCAAGTAAACCTCAACATAAAATGACAAGCTCCACAAAAAGCAAGTTTCTGTCTCCTCCACTTCCCACTGCAAGCCTGTGCCATAGCTTCCTTCTGTTTGTTCAATTGCCTAGTTTATTCTCTGCTACTTAATAAGTATTTATTCTTAACCCATTGTGAGACACTCGGTGTCCATCTTTTGTGTTTCCATTTGTAGCTCTGCTTGCATGCAGAACAGGACTTAAATTTTTGGGGGGAAGAGCAGGAGAAAATTGGAGTGACAGATGCTCTCTAAAGAAATAAAACATTGCTGTTATCTTTTTCATTTTCTTTTAGTAGGATTCAGGTGGATTATCTCCACCAACAAAAAGATGACTATTTTAACCCTTTTTTATTAAATTATGTCTTTGCTTCTAGTTACACACATTAACACATCAAAAAGCTTACAGATATGATTGGTTAAACACAATGTTGTCAATTTTTAAAAATAAGCAAATAAAAATAGAGGGAAAGCATCCTCTGATCACGGACGAATTTTTGTTTTCTTTAGGTCTTTTTGAAACGTCCAGTTATATAGTACTGAAATCCACTTTTGGTTTAAGTGTTGGAAACATACACTAATATTGCACTGATTTTACTAACAGCAGTATATCCTTCTCTCTAATATTCAGATTTTTTAATGTATTATTGGATAGAGACTATGCACAAGTAAGAAAAAATAACATGACAAAGTTTCTTTAAGCATTTCTCTAAATGCATCAGAAAACAGTATTTCATCCATAAGCATAAATTCTATCCAAACAGATAATGCCAAATGCTATTAAAGTTCTCAAAGAAAATGTGAATACATTATATCATGTCTCCTATTAATAAGAATATCCCACAGACATACTTTCAAATCCTCAAATAATTCATACATCTCCCTAAAATTAAAAAAGTCTACCTTATTTTTTTTTAAACTTTTAGTCAACTAAATCTTCATACAGCATTGCATTGCAGCAACATGATATCACGTTAGAAATGTTATGAAATGCAATGCTTGTGACAAGTATTAGTATGGATCCACTATAACGTTTTGCTATACCTCAAAAAGCACAGAATCTCAGCATGAAACAGGACAACATAGAGCTGATCTAACTTCAACTGCAGACAAAGTAGGAGTTGAATCGGGTCCTTTCAGTCTTACAGAAAGTAAGTATACAAATAAAGACAGCTTTCCTTTCACATGCCAGTAAATAAAACATTTCCAATAAGACACAGGAAACATGAAACTGGACAACTGTTATTACTACACAACCAATAATTAAACTTCTTAAAATATGTAATACCTAACTACTTACACTGCTGCACATGAGTGGAACTTGGGGAGAATAAAATAGGTATGGTACACTTTATGCAGCTTACATAATCAGAGTCAAACCACTGAATATATTGTAAAAATCTTGGATTAATGTAATAAAACTTATCTGTATGACAACATATTTTGTCTAAGACTTCATTTGATTTTGTTCATTACAGTCAGGATGAACAGATTCACCAAATTGTATTCTATCTGCAAGGAACAGCAAGATCTGGAATTAATGACAGAGAGCTTACTAGTTCCACATTATGTTTCTTCAAGGGACTCATTTTCTTAATGCCATCTATGCTAGCTGACAATGTGGGGAAAAAAAAAGTAAAAAACTACACTTCAATTCATTTATGGCCTACAACTGCTGACATGATAATATTTTTAGTTCCAAACTATGTTTACATAAAATGGTACTGTGATACTTTACTTTACTTTGCTTCACTAGGAACATGTGAAGTCCAGTGAAAGAAAACTGTAAGACCATTGCCAACTAAACATCACTCTTGAATATTACTCTTGAGTATTTTTATAGATAAGAAATTACAAATCTATTATTGATATATTCTTCACAGAAAATCTGACTTCAAGTTCCTGTATTTTCTTCTTATGATTTGTCCTGATGATGACACACATCCCATTGCTCCCATCAAGCTGACAGTGGGCTCTTGCACACCCACAAGTGACACGGTATTGCAGTGCCATATGCCTGTCAGTGCCCTACTCACCCACATTACACCACTAGACTTTAATACATTTTTCATAACGTTGTTGATTCATCCGGAAAAATTAGTTCAGCACACAATCAGCAAGCAAAAAAGGAGAGAGGATCAGTCAGGGCAAAAGCGGGGTTTAAATAAAAATAACCATATTTGAGCAGCACTACCTCTGTCGCTCACTAATCTATTAGACCTGCGTCTCTCTTTTCCGTTTTCTCAGTACACCTGTCAGCAGGTGCAGGGGATTCGGACCCGGCTCTGCACAGCCCGCGGCGGGAGCACAATGCGCTACATCGGCGGCAACACTTGGGCTGTCACGCAAGCGGTGTCTCCGCTGGAGCCGCTCCCGCGCCCTCAGCCTGGGCTGCCATTGTCGCTGAGCCGCGTACGGCAGCGCTGTCCCCGCGGGAGCGGAGCCTGCTCCGCCCGCGTCCTGCGCCGGACCGGGCGCGGACAGCTCTGCCGGCACTGCCAACGCCTCCCGGCGTTTCCGCACGGCTGGCGGCGAATCCGCCGGGAACTTGGTGCCCTGGCGATGCCCGCCCGGCGCCGCAGGCCGGGCCTGGGCACGGCGCCCCTCATGTTCGCGGGGACCCTCCGCCGCGGCTCCCGCCCGTCCCACCGCGGCCCGCGTTCGGCCCGGCCCGGCCCGCAGCGCCCGTGGCCCCGTTTGTGCCTACTCACCACAGCTTCCTCTTTAAGGGCATCAGACTGCCCCTGTTGGAGGCGGTCACCCCTATGGCCATCTGCAAGACAGTCAGGTATTTCTGATACTTCATTTTGCCGTCGCCCCCCCTGTCCCTGCCTCGTCCCCGCCGCCGCCACCGACAGAGTCTCTCCAGCCGCTGCATGCAATCATCAAATTTTTATTTCCAGGCATCTGCCGTCCCTGCGTCGCGCTTCTTCCCCTCCTCCTCCTCCTCCTCCTGCCGCGCTCCCTCTATCTCTGCCCCCCCGGCTCACGCTCTCCTCCTCCTCCTGCCGCACTCCCTCTATCTCTGCCCCCAGCTGACGCTCTCCTCCTCCGCCTCCCGCCGCGCTCCCGCTATCCCCGCTCCAGCTGACGCTCTCCTCCGCCTCCCGCCGCGCTCTGCCCTCCCCTGGGCCCGCGCTCCTCTCCTCCTCCCGCTGTCGCACTCCCTTCCTCGCAGCCCCCCGTGCTTTACCCCCCGACCTATTGCCGCGCCTCCCTCTCCCTCGCCGTGCTCCCGCCGCGCCGCACTCCCCGCTCCCGACCAGGCCCCCGCTTCGCTCTCTTCTCACCTGGGCTATCTGTGGGCGGCCGCGGCCTCCCCTCGCCCCCGGCGCGAGCGGGACTTTCCCACCATCCCTGCCCGCCACCGGGGCGCTCCCGCCCCGCCGCCCTCCCCGATTACCTGGGGTATCCCGCCCCCGCCCATGAGGCGCAGCTGCCGCGCTGCCCTCCCGCCATCAGGGGCGCGCCATGGCTCTAACGCTGCCCACGCCTCACTCGCTTCGCCTCTAATCCCATTAGCGGCTACAGGAGACCCATGTTACTTTAATCGTCCCCCTGGCTGACGGTGTCCGTTGGGGGGTAGCAATAACCGAGCTCCGGGGCAAACGCCCCACCGCCTGCGGAGGCGGCCCCGTTAGGGGAAAGGTGAACAGGAGGGTCAGCAGGAGGGTGCGTTAAGGATGAGGGTGCGTTAAGGATGAGGGTGCGTTAAGGATGAGGTGAAGGTGAGGTGTGGAGGCTGGTGGAACAGCGCATCCCACGTGAGGAAAATTCCATATGAGGAAAGCAACTGAAGTGAGTTCGAGAATCAGATGGCAGATAAGTCAAACTAAAAGTATAAAATATTTTTACAGTGTGCCCACCTTCTGGGTACTGAAGCACAAATAGCTGAACACGTAAGTGTTTCATGGCCTTAGGTGTGACACAGTTGTTATTACGGCTTTAATCTGTTCTGTGCCTTCCTCCTCAAGCTCAGCAATAACAGCAGCAGCAGATCATCGTGTTTGAGAAGTGCTTTTGGAATAAGTGCTAACACATGGTACCGTATTATCAGAGACCCTCAGCACAAGCATCCCTGAAGTGAAGTGTAGCACTTAGCTGACACATTGATCAAGAGTGGTGGAAAATACTTTGGCTAGAAATGCCATGTTTCAGCACGTAGATATTTTGCTGAGTGCAGGTACGAACAAATCCATGCTGAAGTGACAACTTTTCATTAAGTTGCTATAATGTGAATAGTATTAATTGTAATCCTTACCCAGAACTGGGATCCTAAGGTGGCACTGTCAGCTAGGAAGAAATAATGCACACATCATTGTTGCTTTATGGCTCAGAGATGAGCATTTTGGTGATTATTTTTCTTTGTGTGTATGTGTTGTAATGTATACCTCAAGACTGTAGTAGGCTGCATTCTAGCTAGGCCTGTTCATGACACAGGAAGCAGAGAATATACAGTACTTATAAGCACAATTAGAAACACCGTAGTTGTATTGCTATAGTTAATGAGTTGTATGGCTCTGAATTTCCAGCCAAGAAATCTGATGTACACAAATGTCCTGAAATTCTGTGTCACAAATGATTTAAAAAATTCAAATGGCAACTTGATGTCCTGTGGGAGCCTGTACATCTCCAGCTCTCACGATACAGTTAATGGGGTTTTTGACTTTGGAGTGCTCAAGCATTAAAAGCTATGAGGGATGCTTAACTTGAAATGATTAAGAAGATAAGAAGGTATTAATTTTTGTACTTAAACAGTGCTAGTAGTATACTAATTGAAAAGTCTGTATCTTTTTTAGACAGAACATCAAATCAGTTTTGAAACCTGTAAGGCTCTTACTTTGCCTTAAAATCAAAACTTTTAAAACAAGCACATCGCTTTTTTTCTTCTGCATATCTAGTCATCTTAGCTGACTGAAAAAACTGTTGCCCACAAAAGTTATGAGAGAGTAAGTGTGGGCTGAATTTTATTCTTGACATCAGAATGCTAGCTACTAATGAAATAGTAATTGAAATAGTAATTTATATTCATGCATGTAATATACACCTTGATATGGTAGGTTATGCTGACTAAAAGAATGTTGAGACTGTATTTGTTTGAATATCCCATTTGAGTGTTACGCCTGCCAGTTAGAAAAATACATCTCGTGTAGAAATTCTTAAAAGAAAAATCTAGTCTTAATCTTGTTGTAGTGGTAAAAATTTTGTAGATTAGGCAATCTAAGGATAAGAGGGAAGCAAAGTTTATTTGAAAGCTGATAAACCTGGAAGAAGTGGCTAAGCTTTCAGAGTTCTTTACTTTGTAAAAGGACTCTGTATTAGAGAGTCCCAAAATATTGTTCTTTATTTTTACAGTAGCAGGTTTGGGACATAAATTTATTTTAAGTATTTATATACAAAAGAGTTAAGAAATATGGCAACCATACCTTGCATAAAAACTTACAATGGAGCATGTGTGTATACTGAAATTTTTATTCATCTGCTTTATAATACGATTCCTGTTCTTAATTCACTAGGAATTCCTAAATCTATTTAAATTTGCTAAATAATTACAGTTATTCTAAATTTAGCTCTATAGTTCTCAGTGATTATACTCTATCAGTCTGGTACTAACAAACTAACTTTTGTACATTTTATGTATCATTTTCTGTGCTTCTTGATGTCTATTACAGAGACAAAAATCAGATATTAATGAAGACATTTTATTCTCTAATTTTAATTTGCATTATTTTTGTTTCTCTTGTACCTATTCCTTCTTAGTTCTAAGCAGCAATGGCTTCATTATATGTTGGCTTTCAGAACATATGGCTTTAAGCACCAATGTTTTATATGTATGCTGAAAAGTAAAAAGATCCTGTCTTTCTTGCCTTTCAGATGAACATCCTATTTTTAACAGGAGTCAATCAGCAACTTCCAGATTAGGGAAAGCATCCAGACATCCCTCTGTTAGTTCTAAGGCCTGTGTGGACCCATTTGCCAAGGTAAGACCAAAATTTATACAGTAGATATCCCTGCAAGAGAAGCAGTCTAATGATATTTACTGTTCTCAATGCAAACCTGTTCTGTCTAACATTCTCCTTCACTGCAGAAAGCTGAAAATTGTTTACATTTTTTGAACCTAGCACGTGTTTTATAAATTATTTAATTTCTGTTAGATTACTCCAAGTGAATTACTCCCCTGTTCCATGGGATTTTTTTTGAGTACAAAACCAAGCAGAACCCTACTAATTTCTTAGTTTTATTTCCTTAGGTAACTTAACTACAGACTTCACCTTAGAACTGTATAATCTATATATTGTTTATAGACTACGATCCCCGACCTCTTCTGAACCTGTCCCCAGAATGACCTTCCAATGCACTTCTTGCTTCAGAGAAACAGACTGCTCTTTCAGACAAGTTACAATAGTATGTATGACTGCTGCACTTGAATAGATGTGTGCTTGGCACAGACGCCACTCAAAATTGTGTGTTTACAATAGGACAGTGGTATATCTACAAGACAGATGGATGGATCCCAAGAAGGTGGAGTTTAATACCAGTGTGTGTGATGGAGTCTTGGCCCATGCCATGGCAGTTTTAGGCTGTTTTCAGCAGCAGGAGACTGAGTGACTGTGACTTAGAGGATGCCACTGAAGCAGCTGTACATTGGGAACTCCCATCAGCCGCTAAGAATAAGGGAGTGTAATTGTGGTGTAAAGCTACATTCCAGGGAGTGCAAAGCAAGATTTTGCAACATTATCTACCCCTGCTGGTTTTAGATTTGATATCAGTAAACCTGTCACTGAAACAGAGATTTTGGAACCTCATCTTGCTTTCCTTTATCATTAGCCAATCACACTACTCTGCAGTGCCAGTTGTCACTAGGTGACATCCTTTTCAAACTCTCACCTGTGTCACTTCAGTTTTAACTGTGCTCACAGGAGGAAGGGAAATTTAAGTCTGACTCTAAAGTATCCTTGGAGACTCTACAGAAATGCACTTTTAAAAGTCTTGGCTATGCTTAAGTTACTTCAGGTAACGTAGATTTTCTGCAGTAATGTGAGGAAAAAGAAACTACACTCCTAACTGGCATAGCTATGCTGGTGAACAAACAAAAATACTCTTTATTTGCTGATGTAGCTTACTTTGTTCAACAAACCCATATAAGCTAACACTGTTTGGCAAAAAGGAAAAAAATCATCTTTCCAGAATAACTGGCATCCTTATTAGTAATGTAATGATCAGATCAGCAACTTTTGAGAGCAGATTAGACCTTAATGACACAGTTCAAGCACTAAAGCTCAAAATTCATTGGAGCTACATCAAACACTAAGTAAACTTGCTCCTGGTTTTATGACATATAAGTAGCATCTTTTGGTTGCATTTTAGGATAGTCTTAATTTTAGCTTTACTTGGCATATAACAGAGACTTCACAATTTTACACCACCCATTCCATGGAGTTCTCAATACTATGCTACTGTGTGTGCTGAAGGATTAACATTGTGTTTATTCCTAGGATAAACCTGTTCCCCTTGCTGACTTGTATTCCAATGATTGATAAAAAAATCTTGATACATATGTCCTATTCTATGCTTGTGTTGTATTTAATATGATTTGAGAACATTTTATTACACAGTTCACTTGGTAAAGTGGCAGTGTTTCAGAGACTGATACAATACAGTAGTGACATTAAAAGATAACATTAGATAACTGATCTCCATCTCTATTTTAATCTAAAAGTTCCTGTTTACTAAGGAGGGTTTTTTTTCTGCAGTAGTTGTTAGTAATGGGAATTTATAAATTACTCAATTATAGTAATAATATTAATAAAGATTTATGTCAAAGCTACTGTAACAGACTTTCTTGCCATTTCAATCTATCATGTGTAAGCTTTACATATCTCCCATTTTCTTTCCAGAAAGAAAAAGAAAAAGGTATCATATTTGTCAAAGGCAAAAGAATTCCTTAGAATCCACAAGTTTTTCAGATGCAATGACTCTGGGGCTATTTTCTCTCTCCTCAAAAGTAAGCAAAATGTTTGTGTGTTTCCTATCTGCATTTAAAATACATAATTCTGTGACTTTTTCTGATCTGCTAGGGCTTCTCTGTACTCATATTAATGTATTTATTGTATATAATGCAAAGGTTTTTTCTGGTCTATTATTGCTTTTTCCATAAACTCCATGTTAAGTGAAAATTATAGATATAGCGAGAGAGATAAATACACTACCATCATAAAAAATACACAAAAACACTTGAAGGAATTTTTCTATCACACTGTACTGCATAACTACCATCTACAGAAGGAGAAGTTTTCATGTTTCTTTGAAGTGTCTTCATGACAGGTTGGCTTGAGTGGTGGCAAAGAACTATGGGTCTAGGAAGTTATGGTAATGATCTGACACAGTCATTTAGAAATTACTTGCATTTCCTCAAACAGTTCATCCTGGTCATTTATTTGAGCTACCAAAATAAGAAGAGGTTAATAATTTTGCTTTTGGAAGGAAAGAATGTTCACCTTGTTTTCTCAGAAGACAAAGAATATGTTAAGAAAATTTATTCACAGAATAAATAACTTTTATTTTACTATGGATTATCAATGGTTTTCTAGAATAAGCAATTGAAATATTTACAAGAAACTTGCAAGCAAATATCCCTGTTTCACTACAGTCAGAGCTATTTGGAAATGGTTTCCTGTACAAATAGTTCTACAGGTCTGATATACAGCTACTTTATACTCTTATAACCAAATTTTAGGTTGCTATAAAAGTAAGAATACTATTAAAGTGAAGAATTCAGGCTAGAACAAATTGGACTTGTACAGGCACCGTCCAGTGCTTTGACATTTACCCGTTTCTTGCAAACTTGTAATGCTACGATTTTACTCCTTAAAAAAAAAAAAAAAAAAAAAAAAAGAGAAAACCACCCTAAGTCAAAATTATCCAAATACCACATTATGCCTGACAAGCATGACCCTCTCACAGGATAAAATAAGCTTAACGTAGAAAGAAATAAGCATATGCATGAATTCCATTAGTGCTCTCTGATACGGCTTATTCATGTAGAAAACCACTGGAGGGAAGAAATCACCAAGCATACAATTTCAATGTGAGATGCAGAAGAAAAAGAAGCGTAAGTAACATCGCTTCCCAGAAAAGATTCTAAGAAATACATTGCCATCTGCAACAGATCACAATCTCAGTACACAAAGATCTAACTAATTGGTCCTGCTAACTGTGTACTGCTAGAACTGTGAAACTATGTATCTCTGAGGTGAGGTGTGATCAGACCTTGGTGTGATTTTGGGATGTAGAGTTGTTAATAGCTTTCATTTTTAGATATTGTGCCCGATGGGGAAATCTCCAAGCACACAACAGTTAAAAGAAAATGGAAGATTGTGAAAAGTGGGGGATAATGATGGTTCCCTGAAGGAAGGGTGTGGAATTCTGGAAAACAATAATTCAGAATATTGAAGGCTGAGAAAAAAATATGCTTTCTGAACTGTTGTGTTAGACATGTTATAGAACCACTGTGAAAAATTTAGAATGAGGACCAATTCATACCACTGTGTTCAGTTGTCTAGAAAGTCTACTTCTAGAAAGTCTACTTCCTTACATTGCCTTCACATTTTTTTTCAGTCGAATAGTGAGTTTTGTGCACAGTAGCTGTACACATCAGGATAAGCAGATCAAAATGACAGAGTTCTGCTAAAATTTAAGGACTTTCTCCTGCCAAACATTATACTCATTCCTCACTTTATAATTTAGTTTTATGTTATAAATACAAATTTCTAAGTATCATTTATTTATAATATAATATGAATAGGAAATTTATAGAGTCAGAGCATTTTTTAGCATCATTAATATCTTTCATTGAATGCTGATAGGAACGTTTCCACGTTCATAAGTCTGAAGGCTAGCTGGATGTTTCATGAATGTATTGAAGTTGGTTAGAATCCTAGTTCAAGACTGTTTTATATCTCTAGTTGAGTATTTGCTCACTTATTACAACATGAAAACCATTTTTGATTTTCAGGAAGAAAGTTGCTCTCGTCAGAATGTGTAAAGCTGTTCTCATTACAATGTGTATGACTCTTAATGCTATACTATTTTAATCCGATTACCAGTACAATGAAAATTAATGTAATAGGATTTACTATAATTAGAGGCAAGAATACAGTAATCTACTATGCAAAGAACATCAAAAATGTCAGTGAAGCTTATTACAGGGATATTGTTTATGCTAATTAATCAAATTTTTAAAAATCACCCTGTCTGATTTTAATTAGATTTTTTTTTTGACAAAACTTTAATAAAAGCAACCCAGAAATGTTAGTACTGTTCAAGTATTACTCTTTTCTGGGCCACAGAGAATTAGAAATAAATACAAAAAAAAACAAAAAGAAATGAAGGACTACAAGCTACTCATTCCATTGTCCTGTCCAAATAAAAGATAAAATAAAAACAAAGAGTAAAAATGAAAAGTAACGATAAACAAGACTTTTACAACATAGATGAAGGAATGAAATCTGAGTTTATGGTTTTAAGCCCCTAAGTGCTCAATATCTATCAGTATTAATATATCCCAAATGTTCCTGTAGTTCCAGCATAGGGAAACCTACATGAAATTGTGGTGCAAATTGCAGATCTGTTTCCCAAATGTTTATGCTGTTCTATATACCTCTCCCTCGTAACATTCTGATAGATTATAAAACTTAAGATACATGTATGAAGCCTAACAGGTGGGAATTAAGAAATTAAAAGCTAACAAAAAATGAAAGCTAAACCTAATAGCAGGGAACTTTCTCTTCTGAGTATCTGGGACTACACCTCATGAAAGAATCAGCTTGAACTCAGCAGGTTGAAGGACTAATTCCTATGATGTTGATTTGATGTCAGAAGTAATTAGCTCATGGCATACCCTGATGCCGTGGTATCCTATCCTACTAGAGACATTTGGTTAGATTCAAAATATGGTACTGGGTTACAGTGTGCATCTACAAAATTTCCAAAAATCCAGTATGAATACTTTGAAATCAAGAACAAAAGCTCTTCATGCTGTTAAGAATCTGCAAGATCCAGTCTTTCAGTTACTGAATTTTTTCTTTTGAAAAAACAGCAGAGGTCCCACTTGTAACATTCCAGTAAGACAGAGCCCTCCCATTAAATGTGTGTGCATGAAGAGTCAGTTATATATATAAAAAGGAAATATGTGAGAGAGATAAAAATCAACTTACAGGAACTGTTGAGCCAAAATTTTAAAAATCTTTCCATTTCTGAAAGCCTGACTTCAGACAATATATTTCTGACTGGATATCCGAAATACAACTTTGTTGTATTTAAAGTATTTTATCTTAATTTGGACCAATGTTCTCAATGTAATAAAAATGTCAAATATGTCATTCCTTCAGGTATATGGAAATGAAGGATATAAAACACTTTAGTTTCTTTCAGGACCATCTAATGCAAAGTAAAGAACAAATCTGTTCATTCTAGATACAGGTATTTTTGAATATCAAGCATATATTTTTTTACTGCATTGACTACATAAAGGATTTAGAATTATCTATATTCTTTTAATAACCAGTGTCAAGACTTTTTTAGATTCTACTCAGTTATTTATAAACAATAAGAATTCACATGCAGATCAAAGATCTTGCTACAAACGAGATTTTTATATCATATAAGCAATTTTCTGTCCTCTGCTTCAGAGAAGACAATCAGTTCTAGCTTCTTTTATGCACTGCAGTCATTGCTACTTTTGGCATAGATGATCTGGCTCCAAATTTGCTGTGAGTAAACCATTTTTTTTTTTAATTACCCCAGTATAAAAATAAAACTGCCTTTATGGCATTCCTGATGTTATATTATCAAATTTCATAAGGCCTTCCATCCTGGAGAAAGCATGAATAGCAAAAGAGAAAAGAGGAGGATTAAGCAAGTTGCCATTCTTCCATTGACAGACAGCACAAAGTTTTGGGTCTGAGTTGTGGGGTGTAACGTGGGTCAGTCCCTTGGTTTTAAGCAAAAGGATAACATAAATAACAAACTGCTAAAGATTTTGTCTGGTAAAGTAAATAGACTTAAAACACCTTTTGCTGTTATGGCAGTTTATATAACATTTTTCTTGTTTATGTAATATTTCTCTTGGTTGTTTTTAGACATTAAAATAACAGAAGCATGTACAATACTGATGTACAAGATTTTATTTGTCCAATTTAAAATTGGTCATTGCATTAGTACTCTCTAATACCGAAATATTTCTACTTCCTATTATGTTCTAAAAATAAATCAGCAAAAGATATGAAACAAAGTTATACTTTAATATACTCTTAATATAAAGTATACTTTATATAAAGTATACTTTAATATACTCATTTCCTTTTGTTTGCCTCTTATTATTTAACATGTTTGCTTTGAAAGAAAAAGCACGACCATGTTAAGCTCAGGTGTATTCAGCTGGCATAAAGTAACAAGGCCACATTGAAGTCACCATTTTATACCATGTGAGGGTCTGGTAGTGTAATCTAGTCCATGCATTTGATGAATGTTGGAAACACTGTTTCTAATGAGCGTTTTCCTAGAAGTGACATGGATAGTACCTGGTCACTAGCAGGTTTGAGCGCTCTCTTGCCAGCCAATCAATTTATTTAACATCTGCATGTAAAAAGCACCCAAGCAGTTATGAAGCTGGTTCTTATGCAGCACTGGTTTCTTGGGAGCTATTCACTGGCTCTCCAGACGTAGGAGCAGCAAGAGAGAATTCAACAAAAATGAAAATAAAGCTTGGTGTTTATTATTTTTGTTTTAGTTAAAGAACTTTTTATTTCTAAGAAAATTTCTTAACAATGCACACAGGCTAAATTTTGAAGATTAACTACAAGTGCCATTAATAGAGATCTCTCCTGGCACCAAAACATCCCTGCAAATCTGTTCATTTTATTGCAGTAGTGCAAACTCTTCCTTGGAACCATCTGCACCACTACTGAGATTTTAAAATGAGAACACATTAAAAAGACCATTGCT